AATCAGGGCAGAATAGCACCTGATTATTCAACAGAAAATGTTAACGCAAGAATGGTCCTGATAGATGTATGCCAAGTTCTGAAAGACCACAATTGTCAATACATAGTATTATACTCATCAGAACTCTCTGGTAAAAATGAAGGGGAAATGACAATATTCTGTGATTAAAAACAGATGTTTTTAAAGGAATATGTGACCATTAAGCCAGCTCTATAAAAGATACTGGAAAGAACACTTTTGTCTGAAAATAAGGATAAACATACACAAGAAGTCACAGGGAGTAAATAATTCCAGAATAGTTAATCAAAAGAGATCTAAGAACACACCACAAATATAATAGGAATTAATACACATAATTCAATAACAACTCTTAATGGTCTAAATTTTCTAACAGACAGAGATTGGAAAACAGGATCCATATATTTGCTGCCTCCAAGAAACACACCTTACCATCAACAATAGACATACCTTAGGGTAAAAGGGTAGAAAAAAGTATTCCAAGCAAATGGAACCAAGTATCTGACAAAATAGACTTCAAACCAAAACTAGTAGATTTATGATGTCATATAAAGAGAATCACTTAATGTTTATCAAAGGAACAATCCATCAAGAAGATATCACAATTCTAAACATTTACACACCAAACACAGGATACCCAATTTCATAAAAGAAATACCATTAGATCTAAAACCACAGATTAACCCCAAAATAGTGAGAGTAGATGACTTCAGGACCCTCTCGCCAATAGACAGGTCATCCAGACAAAAACTAAACAGAAACATTAAGAGTTAAATGACATCATAAATCAAATGACATTGTGAGTCAACCTAACAAACATCTACAGAATGTTCCACCCAAACACTAAAGAATACACATTCTTCTCAGTAGCCCATGGAACTTTGTCCAAAATCAGTCACATACTAAGACACAAAGCAAGTCTCAACAGATGTAGGAAAATTGAAGTTACCCCCTGTGTTACATCTAATCACAATGGAATAAAGCTAGATACCAACAATAGATGTTACAGAAAGCACACAAACTCATGGATACCAAACAATATGCTACTGAATGATAATTCGGGAAAGAAAGAAATCAAGAAAGATTGGGGAAAGGAAGAAATCATGAAAGATTTTTTTTCTAATTCCTAGAATTGAAAGTTGAAATACAACATACAAAAATCCGTGTGATGCAATGAAGACAGTGCTAAGAAGAAAGTTTATAGAGCTAAGTGCTTACATCCCAAACAAAGAAACAAACTTGAGAGCTCTCAATAAGTTAATGATGTACCTGAAGACCCTGGAAAAGGAGAACAAGCAACAGCCAAACAACCAGAAATAGTAGATGGGAACAGATAATCAAAATCAGGGCTGAAATAAATGAAACAGAAAGGAAAAAAAAATACAGTTAGTGAAATGAAAACTTAGTTCTTTGAAAGATTAACAGGATTGACAAACCTTTAGCCTAATTGACAAAAAAGAGAGAAAGAGGACCCAAGTTAGTAAAATTAGAGATGAAAAGGTATCCATTACAACAGATACTGAAGAAATTCAGAGAATTATAGGGACATACTTTAAAATTTTATATTCCACTAAACTGGAAGATCTAAAAGAAATTGTTAAATTCATAGACCCTACCAACAGTAAGTCAAGATGAAATAAATAGTATAAACAGACCCACAATGGCCAGTGAGACAGAAGCAGTAACTACCATTTTCCTAAGTAAAAAAAGTCCAGGGCAGGTGGATTCAGCACAGA